CACTCTTATGGTGCACATACAACCCTAATAGCTTTGGATCTAAGTTTTCTCTAATTATACATGCAATAAAATTTCCAAAGCATGAAGCCTACAACTAGCATACAATTTGACATATGAATCATAAAAGTAAGTGTGACAACCCGAAATTCTCTTTTGGTCAAACCTTAAAAGTCAACCCCTTCGCATCGTGATTTAGTATCATTATTGCTTATTTTTAAAACATATAAAGTTCGTTTAATTATTTTATTATTATTTTTAAACGAACGGGTAAAAGAAAGTGTCGTCTCGGGTTTTTATTTTGAAAGCCGCAAACACTTCGCGTATTAGAATCACCCGACTAAACTTTTATGTTTTGGGTTTAGGAATCACCCAAAAACCGTAAACTCATGCCTATGTACGAGTTTACTCCCCAATAAACTAGTCATTGTGTTTACTCCCCAAATAGTGAAAAGAGTAAACTCCCAAAAACTCTCTCAACTATCATCCAACATTTAATTCCAAAACTTCGATCTTGTAAGTGTTCTAACCATTTCAAGTTAGTAAAACACTTAATCTAGTGTTTGTGCATCTATTCATCCATTCATTTCCGGTTTTTGTTTAGATTTTCACACACTAAGTGTTCTTGGCCCTTTTAGCTCGAATCAAGCACCATTATAGTAAGTACTCTCATCCTTAAGTGCTTGTAAGCTAGTATATCAAACAAACACCAAGGAAATCAGCCAAGAACACCATGATTGAGGTGTTCACGGTCCAAGAAGATGCTTGGACCGCAAACACCATAAAGTCCCTCAAATTTGGTTTAAGTCCCATTTTAAGCCCTAGTTTGAAGCCCTAGACTTACCTTAACATATCTAAACCTTCCATTGATATGTCTAAGCATTGTAAAACATCAAACACCACAAAATATAGGTGTTTACAGTCTAAGGATGCCACAAAACCGTAAACACCCAAAAAGGTGTTTAAATGAGTCATATTCCTTTCCTAACCCTAAAGACTAACTTAGATGTTTACCTAGTTGTGATAAGGACTTAAAACAATGGAAATACCACTTCCCATAAGGGTTTATGGTAGTAAACCCAAGGAAAAATACCCTTAGGCCGTAAACACCTCAAGGAGGGTGTTTTGTGGTCTTAATCCATTCCAAGAGCTAAACCACATAGCAAGGTTACTTCTATGGACTTGTTAAACTCCAAAACAACTCATGGATTGCAATATTTGGAGTTTGGACTGTAAACCCTAGAGTTTACTACCGTAAACTCCAAGGGTAAAGGTCATTTAGATCGTAAACTCCCAAGGAGTTTACCCTTGGACCCCAAACACCCTAGTTATGCCCTACTAGCACTCGGATGCAAACCTTGTGAACTTTAACACTTGAAACAAAGTGTTTTCAGGTTCTAGAGTCTCCCAACTCATATTATTAGTTATAATAAGGCTAATTAGTTATACATATGTTCATTATATGATAACTAGGCTCGTGCATGTGTACAAGTCTCTGTTTGCCACCTAGCACGGTATCCGATACTTCAATCCAATCCACTCACCACAAGTGAGTTCATACCCCTGTTAATTAACCTTTGAATTACTTTTAAATATTTTAAATACTTTTATGGGGGGGGGGGGGGGAATACAATTTAAATACTTATAGTTATCACATCAATCACATGTGATTAATAACTATAGAACATATGATTCTATCACTGTTCAAACTGTTCATCAAACTGCTTTACTTCAAGATGTTTTACAAACTCTTTTCTTACCAAATACTTTTATTTAAACTTTGTTATACTTCTTATAAATTACATGTCCATATATGTATAGATATATAAGAAATGTTTAAAGGACTTAGGAAGGCTATCCACCCTATTTCCTTTTCGCGCTTGAGATGTGGTCTGGTGGGATTTCGGGTAGTCATCCGAAAGTCGTTTCAATATTAATTATATATCAATTGTACATATATAAACATAAAAAGTACTTCCATATTCATGCGTATTAGTTACATCATTAGTAAGTTACCATCGGGGTAACACAAGATCATACTACTACAATTTCTAGATCAATGAGACAGTTCAGTTATGAGTCAATACTTATTACTATGAGAACATATACAATACATTACTATGAGTACATATACAACTATACTAGAAAGAGAACATATACAACTATACTAGAGAAGAACATATACAACTATACTAGAGAAGAACATATACAACTATACTAGAGAAGAACATATACAACGATACTAGAACAAGTAACATTACATTACATATACATGAATATGTTAACAATTGTGATCCACTGTATCGGAGCATGCCTTAAATGTCATGGCCTGAGTTGTAGCCAGAATTCTCTTGGAGGGAGAGCATGAGTTTGCGTATAGATCTATACTGGATTGACTATCCTACACCTTGCTGCTAGCTACAGCCGGACCTGCAGGTCTGCGGGTGCAAAACATCATATCATTTTACGACCTACGTTTGTCGTTGTTTATCCAGTCGATAGTATGGTACAGTTAATCACATGATGCCTTAATATAAATCCGGTTTAAGGTAGTTAGTGCAGCAGTAGTTCCTATAATACAACACTAGAGTACTACATTAATTTACTCTTTACACAATTAGTGATCTTTTCACTTAAACATTTATGTACAAACTATATTTTGAGAATGATAGTTACACCTGAGTAAATTACACACTTTTTACAGTAAATGAACATACAAAATAGTTAAGCCTTGGTAGAAGGCTACTTTAATAGAAAATATAGGTTTTTCTGAGAGATTCAAACTTTTACAAACACTTACATACATTTTACAAACTTACACTTGAGACATGTTCAAATTTTTTGATAACAAACACCGACACTAAAATACTTATGAACTCACCAGCTTTATGCTGATAAACTCTTTCAAAATAACTTGTATTCTCAGGTCATCAGTAGACAGGTACCGATGCCAGCTTTTGAGAAGATGGAGCGCATCCAAGACTCCTCTTATTATTTTGATTTACATTATTTTTGGTGTCTATAACTGTAAAGAACACACTTGTATTAAAATTATATATTTAATGTAATGGATGATGTTGTTTGCTTATTTACTGTTATACTGTGTTATGATACTTTACATGACGTCCTCCACCCCAGAACGTTTCCGCCGTTCATGGGTTTGGGGTGTGACAGTAAGTTAGAAGATTACCTCTTGTTGTAACGTGTTGTATTTTGACCTTTAAGAGCTTAGTGCCTCAAATGTTGCACCTCTAATGGAATCACAAGACACCATGAACAATTAGAGAAGAAAAAGAGAGAAGTTATGAAGCTCAAAATCATCCATATCTTGCAATGTTACTCTTAGGTCTGATTTTGGCTAAAGGGGTTACACATATATAGTTTGGAATTCCTAAGGTTTAACTTGTAAATCCTAGTCCATTTACTTAAATCTTTAAGCAATCCAATAATACATATGATGAGCCTTATAGAATAACTCTTCATGGACACCCACATAGAATATGTCCATCCTAATCAATATGGATCATTGGTCCACACTATAAATATTACTCATTGACTTAACCAGTCCCCATTAATTTAATTAGTCTCTTTTGATCACTAAATTAATTCCAAATTAATTTGTTGTTCAATACTAATTAAATAATATGATTTCTCTATTAATATAGTATACTTATAATATACGGATAAATCATAATAACCTCTTTCTCAAATATCCATCCTATCAAATTGTCCTGGTGAATGCAACCCAAAAGGATTATGCTACTCTCAGGTCAAATGCATACCAATTATAGTTATGAGCTTAGACACATAATCCAACAATAGAATTATCCAAGTGGGAGACTATTTGATTAGGTGTCTAAGTCAATAACTAAATTGATATATACTTGAATTATTAATAAAGTCCTTTTGGGTTGCCCTCAAACATAGTAATTGAATATGGTGACTTTTAGAGGGAAAGACTGATTTATTAATTTATCATATGATTAATAAATAACATTACATTATTTGTTAATACATTCTGAGAATAATATATTAATTAGTAATTGTATTATCTAATTAAAATTAAATAGAATTAATTTTGAGATTAATTGGATTAATAAATAGTGCAAGGACCTAAGTTGTAATTATTTAATAGTTGAACAAAAAGGGTTTCAGAACATTCCCCATAAAGCTGGATGGTTTGGAGAGTGATTCTAGGGCTTCTACAATATCCCTTGAAGATAATTAGGAAGCCATATAGTTACTTGATTTGAGATATTGTTATTTTAATCAAGTAAGGGTTATTTAGGGTTTTCTTATCATCTATAAATAGAGCTTTAAACCCTCTAAATTCTGGCCACTCTTTTTTCACTGAGCATAGCCAAAAATATTTCCTTTATTATTCTTTCTCTTCAAGTTTCCTAGTTGCTAGGGTTTAGGTGTGAACCATAAGAGGCACGATATTTCTGGTGCTAGCTTCCAAGAGTTTTGAAGAAGGATTTGATTAGTTATTTACTACAATAATTAAGAACATACACAATCTCCTCTATGAATTTCAATTTCATTAGGGTTATAGGGTTCTTGTTGTTTACTAGAATGTTACTTCAATAGTGTTATGATTAGATCGAATAGGTTGCATGTAACCTTAAGTGTATAAGGATTTATCTGCCTTATTACATGTAAAACCCATCAGTTAGGACAAAGTCGTTTATGGACTTAAGCAAACTCTTAGGACATAGTATGATATGTTGATAACATACCTTCTTGAAAACAGTTATAAGCATCGAGCCATTGCCAATATAATGTTCGTAAAGAAATCAAGCCCTGAAATTAACCTTGCTCAAATATATGTAGATGATATCATCTTTGGATCCACAAAGGAGTAACTGAGTAAAGAGTTTAGAGATATTATGTCTAGGAATTTCAAAATAAGTATGACAGGTGAGTTATAATTCTTTTTGGGTCTTCAAGTCAAACAAGAATCAAAAGGAATTTTCATAAATAAAAGCAAGTACATCTCCAATATGCTAAAGAAGTTATCTTTCGTTGACTGCAAACCTACTAAGATGCCAATGTCCCTTACACCGAAAATATTTGTTGATCAGTCAGGTCAAGATGTGAATCCTTTTCTCTACAGGGGAATGATTGGTTCACTTCTTTACTTAACAACAAGTCCATTTGATATCTTGTTCGTTACCAGCATGTGTGCTTGCTTTCAAGCTAATCCAAAAGAATCACATATTCTCATTGTTAAACGATTTTTTCAATATCTAAAGCATACTCCAAATCTTGGGCTATAGTATCCACATGATTCTGATTTCAATTTACTCGGTTACACTGACTCTGATTATACAGGGTTTACTCTCAACGGGAGGAGCACATCAAGAGAATGTTAACTTCTGGGCAATAGACTTATCAGCTGGTCTAGTAAGAAACAATCATCATCGGGATGTTCAACCGCTGAAGCATAATACATTTCCACTAGAGGATGTTGTGCTCAAATCCTCTAGATTCAAAATCAATTTCTGGATTATAGCTTCAAGTTTTCCAAGACTTCCATATGATGTGACAATACCCACACCATTCTCATCACATTAAAAAAGAATCCAATTCAATACTAAAAAACCAAGCACGTTGAGATTCGTCATCACTTCATATGGGACAATTTGCAAAAAGGGAAAATTTAAATTGATGTATGTTCCAACTACAAACCAACTCGCTCATATCTTCACCAAGCCGTTGGATGAACATAAAATCATATTTCCTATTGGTGAATTGTGAATGCTTTCTATTTTTAAGGTTTTTCTTCTTTAAAGTTCTACTTCATTCAACTTTATGCAAAAAAAAAGGGAAAAAGATATTTGATTATGCAAACCCTTGTGGCTATGGGCATCCTTCTCGAATTTGGGCATCAACCGTTAAGACTAATCATGGTAAAAAAAATTTGGGGTTTGTCCCAACTGAATGATATATTAAGCTTTATCATATCCTCCTCCTATATATTTGCTTGGTGAATATTTATTTCAGTTTGTAATGTGATTGCAAAAATGTCTTGATGAATATTTATGCCAATTTGTAGTGTGATGAAATCTACTTATTTGCATCTTGCCTAGCTACTTGATGTATGCATTTTATAGTTTTAACAAATTCTAGATCTTAAGCTACTTATGGGTATTTATCCCCTTGTTTTCACAAATTATAGTTGTTTATTCATGAAGAAGCATTAAATCGGTTTATAAATGAGGAATATATCAATTAATGTCATGCACAAATTATTATGTCATGTCACAATAAATTAGACAAACCATCCTTTACCTGCAAGAGCTGACTACCAGTGGGTAATATTTGAACAAACCGTATAGTTTGTTGGTGTTTTTTTATACAAAGATCATACTAGGATGATCGTTTTTGAACATACCAAACTTAGATGATGTTTTTGAATATTTTAAAACATAGTTGTGCTCCCGAGTCATTTTCTCTTAATTAATTTTTACCGGTAATGTCGGTTACCATAAGGTGACATTTATATAAAGTATATAGTTTATTGGTGTTTGTTATGAAAAAACTTTATTTGGATGATATTTTTCTGAATATAACAAACTTGAATAATATTTTTTAAACGATTTTGAAACATAATTATCATACTGAGTCATTCTTTTTATATTCTAAATCTTTTGATACATTATAAAATCAAACAAAACTTTATATTAAAAAAAAAAAAAAAAATAGATTCCAACCTAATTATAAAATCCTAAAAAAAAAGAATAATATTGTTTCAAACCTTTCAACCACATTTCTCTAATTCCACATCTTCATGTCTAAATTTCACAAAACAATCACACATTAGTTTTGTAAAAACTCATTGCTATAAGAGGATAACATCATCCATTGTCATTTTTAGTAATTCTTTTTAATCATAAAATAAAAAACCGTGTGAATTAATTATCATACGAGTAATTTATCCATTACATCAAATCAAACGAAATCTAAATCATTCTATAAAATATGAAAATAAATTACCTTTTATAGAAATATACAATTATTTTTAAAATTAAAAAGAATTACAATCATCCAACTTGAACTAAAAAATCACAAGACAATCCAACCAATTTCATACATATCATCTACTAATCCACCGACTATGTTCCCTGTTTGTATTGGAATCTACGCATTTCAAATTTATAGATATAAAACCACAGCTAAAGTTACCAAAAAAATGGAAAAGTAAGGTTTTAAAATTCATCAGCACTCATCAATCATCAACAGTGCGCGTGAAAATCGGGCCTAGGGTTCCTCATCTTCTTCTTGATCCTTCCTCAATTTCATTTCATAACTTCATTTACGAGTGTTTCGTAGTCTGCCGTCTGCATCCAGCTGTTTCTATACCATCCACAATTCAATATAGACGCGTTGAAGTAGAAGGTGCAATGAAAATACCTGATTTCACACTCAATTTCCGTCAATTATATAGCTTTTTGGTTCGCTTTGATTACTCTTATGTTTTATCTTCGTTTGATTTTGTGTAGGTTGTGTGATCGCAGGGTTTTGCATAAGCTGAAGTTATATTTATAGCTTATTGCAAAGCAAATGCCAGAGGAAGATCTTTTAGAAGTAAAGTTTCGATTGTTTGATGGATCTGACATTGGTCCATTTCGGTATTCTTCAGCTTCCACGATTTCGCTTCTGAAAGAGAGAATTGTCGCTGAATGGCCCAAAGGTTAGTGCAGTTCTATTTCCATGATTCCATCATATCCAACTATTTGATTACGTATTCTTCTGTTACTTATATTGAAGATACAAACAACTTTGGAGCCTTCTTTTTGGGTGAAAGTATTGATACAATTGATTTTATCCTGTCATCATATACCACTATTTGATTAATTGTTCTTCTGTATCTTCAATCATAAATTTCTACACACTAAAACAAGTGAACAAAGAAAGAATCGATGTTTAATAATATGTTAATAGCTATCTTCATCAATCTGCAAATCACTCTCTTTGTGTGTTGTAAGCCTTCTTCTTTTTCTAAAACTCCTAATCAAGTCATATGACTTGGTTAAATCTATCCATATATGTGAAGTTTTATTTAAATCAAATAGGATATCATTTACATTTATCACTTGTTTACAAAGTACAAAGATATGTTATGTTCTCTCAGATAAAAAAGGTGGACCCAAATCAGCAAATGACATCAAATTGATAAATTCTGGTAAAATTTTGGAAAACAATAAGACTGTTGGCCAGTGTAGAACACCATTTGGAGATCTACCAATTACAATGCATGCTCTTGTACAAGTTTCTTTAACCAACACAAAAACAGGTAAATTTCCATGTCTTCTTTCTCACTATTTAATCTGTTATACTTTCTTTTTATATTTTGTATAGTTTTCAGAAAATGATGATAATGTGGTTTCATTATCTTTATCATACAAATGAAAGCAACTTTCAATGCTATAATTGGGTTGATTTTTCAAACAATGATGTGCTAATAAGAAAAAAGTAATTGAAGTACAATGTTGTAATTGGGTAAAATTTTCTTTTGTATCTTATGAAAGTTGTGCTCTTTTTTTTTTTTTTCTATCACCCAAACAGAAAAGAAGGTTGATGAGGCTCCAAAGATAAACACATGTACATGTGCCATTTTGTAATATTTCATAAGGAGTGTAAAGTGTTATACCTCATTTGTTACATGTTAAATTTACTTATGTTGTGTATGTGTATGTGTGCTTTATATATATAATTCATTGTTTTTATATTGTATATTTTTTTAGACTCAAATTCAATGACTTCATGTATGTCCAAAGTCATTTTGTGTTAAACATCAACAAAATCAAAGATCCAAACAATAAGAATCTAGAATGCTTGAAGCTAATTTCAAAAAATAAAAATAAAAAAATCCAAATTTATGTTGGATGTGAAAAGGATTTTTCAAATCATGACGCCTTGATAAGAGTAAAAATTGAAAACACAATGTTGTAACTTGTAATCGAAAAATAAAATGGAAGTAGAATCATTGCTTTTTTAAACTGTTAAATGCAAGAAAAAGCATGGTTTATTATAAAATATCATACAATTTATTTCTTTCTATTACAACAAAAAATCAACCTAATTATATAATTATCATCCAAATACAAATCACAATGCTATATCCGATACAATTTTACAAATTCCAATATCCCAACAAGAAAAAACACAACGGTATAATACAAAAATAAACCAAAGTCAAAAGTCCTAACCACAAATTGCAAGATCTTTCTTGGAAGGTCTAAAACTCAAGGCATAGAGGCTATAAATGCAAAGATTTGCTTGTTTGGACTTAACAGAGAATTGATTGGAAGTGGTGATAAAGGCAGGAACATTGCATGCAGGAGATGTGCTTCTGATTAATGAAGCTCTGCATGTGTTAAGAACTTGTGATTCTTCTTTAGCACAATTGATTCCATCAACAGAAGGAATTTGCAATTTGTATATTCCGTGTTTGTTTGTAGTTCTGTTAACTGAGAATGATATTTGTTCTGTGGTTCTTGGAGAAGCTGCTTTGAACTTGCAATCTATTCTTACTTCGGCCCCTGTGGTGTTTTTGATGGGTTAAAATGCAAATACAAAGCAATTTTTAGTGCTATAATTATAATTGTGACACTTGTAACATTTAATAAAATTGATAAATTTTTATTACATTTGTTATCATCTAAAAGTGGTATGGGATGGGTAGGAAGAATAAATAGGAGGATATTTAATTTCTTATCTCTTATAATTAGTGGTGATTTGTCTATTAATGTTATATTTTTGATTGAATAAATGAATAGAAAATGTTGGTATGTAAAATTACTTGTGTAGTTTGTATATTTGAGATTTAGACGCGCAAAATAAGTTAAAAAACGAAGGCTGAAAGATGATGACCTATTTATTGAAATCAAATGAAAATTTATAATATATGATACTAACTAAAATGAGAAAAAGGACCGAAAGTGTGATTTCCTAAGTTAAAAGTAAAGGGACGATAAATGTAATTAATCCATTTCCTTATTTAAAAACTAAAAGTTACAGGGACAAAAAGTGTAATTTTTTAAATTAAAAACTGTAACTAATCCATTTTGTTTTAGAGTCAAAAACTATAGGGACTAAAATGTATTTTCCTAAATCAAAACTAAAGGGCTCAAACCTGTAATTAAGCCATTTCCCAACAACTAAAAGGTATATATAATTAGGGGGAAAATTATTAATCTAATAATTCATTAATGATTTAGCTAAAAATTAGGATTTCTTCCGAACTAACCAAAAAAATCGTAGGTGGTTAAATTGGTCTACTGTTTCGTCTATTTACCTACTGTTTTGATTTATATATATATATATATATATATATATATATATATATATATATATATATATATATATATATATATATATATATTTTCATTTTTCACTACGAAACCGTAAACGAAAAAATGATCTACTGTTTCCTTTGAGAAGTCTACTGTTTCCCAAATAGTAGATTAAAAATAATCTACTGTTTCGTCTAAAAAACTACGGTTTTGAGTTGTTTTTTTTAAATGAAAAAAAAACACTAACTTTTTGACTACTATATTGTACCTACTATATACTAAAAGAAAAATCTCTTTTAAGGTAAAAGTTAGTGTTTTTTTTTTCATAATAAAAAAAAAACTAAACCGTAGGTTTTGGACGAATCAATAGATCATTTTTAATCTACTATTTGGAGAACAGTAGACTTTTCAGAGGAAACAGTACTCTATTTTTTCGTCTACGGTTTCATAGTGAATAATGAAAAAAAAAATCTTTATATACTGAAATCAAAACAGTAGGTAAATGGGCGAAACAGTAGACCATTTTAACCACCTACGGTTTCGTGGGCTAGTTTGGGACAAATCCTAAATTTTAGCTAAAAATTGGTAATCACTTCTTTATTTGGCTAGATTAGTAATTGTCCCATAATTAGGTAGAGTTTTTTGATGGGTTAAATGCAAGAAGTAACAATACATTTCTTTGTTTATTATAGCATCTTAATTTCATTTTTTTCTATTATCTTATTTTAATTTAAAAAATCTACAATACTATTTTAGCAAATTTTATTTTCACTCCTTTAATTGAGTAGATTTTTCAAAAGCACGATGTATTGCTATGAAAAAGCCAAAATTACCATGCTACAACTGTGTAATTTTACTAAAGTACCATGTTTCAATAAGAAAAAAGATGGAAATACATTGCCATTTCATAGAACAATTTTTTTTTCTAAACGGTGTTTGTGTGTGTTGATTCTATCATGTTATATGTACATGATTCAAGGCTTAAAAGCAAAATATAGCAAACTATTATCATTCATTTGTTTACTATAGCAACCTATTTTATCCCTTCCTATTGCAACATTGTAGTAATTAGAGCAACGTAATCCAAATACAAATAAGCGCAATAATTGCAATCTATCTTTTCATAAAAAAACAAATAAGTGCAAATACGTTGAATATTTCGTGGATTTAGCAATATATTAATATTAAAACACAAGAAAATTCACAAAAGGGGATTAAAATTTTAAAAAACCTGGCAAGAAGTAACTGTGAGTGGAGAAGGAATTGTTAGAACATGCGTCACAGTAGACAACACCAACGACAGTGATATTGGGAACAGGAACTTTGGAGTTTGAGATTGCGACTTCAATTAATGAAAAAACTACAACCAAAAAGAAAAAGAAAAAGAAAGTGTGTGAATCCATCGGAAAAAATGGTGGTGGACTTGTGGTTGTTATGGAGATGAAGAAGACATGGAGAGAGTTTTTAAGTGTTGAAAGGAGAAAACAAAAACATGTGAATGATTTTTGGATGGATGTGAGATTCGTCAGAATTCAGAAAGGTGGGTTGCTTGTTTTACATTCACAAAAAAAAAAAAGGTCAAGACAGACTACTTTCTGTCACTTATCAAATTTTTTATTAGTTTTGAAATCATGACAAATAGCTTCGACAGATGAGTACTGTTTTGTAAACAAAATTAGTGAAACAGGTCTCATTGGTTGTGAATGTTACTATTAGCAGATCTTAAACTTAGAAAAAGATGTAAAGAAAAAAAGGAAATGGTCAGATCCATTAAGATATTGAGCTTGAGAGTGGTCTAAACTCTAGAAGACCTTTTAAGAAATCAAAAGAAATCAAAGACTTCAACGATCTAGCTTGATAGTGAGTTAGTCACGGTATGTTGTTTTGATAATAGCCATAATATTTTGATTTTCTTTTTTGCGGTATTTTCTTTTTTGTCAATGAAAATCTCTCTATTATTTAAACAAATTTCCACCGATACCAATCAAACCATTGTGCTGTCCTCTTTAAGCTTAATTGGTATAATATTTACTTCTTAAAACAATATCTAATTTTTTGAAATGGTTTCTGGTTTATTTATATGAAATGTAGATAACTTGTTAAATTGGAAAATGAAAAGTTCTCTATATATATATATATATATATATATATATATATATATATATATATATATATATATATATATATATATATATATATATATATATATATATATATATATATATATATATATAATATATATATATATATATATATATATATATATATATATATATATATATATATATCGTTTTAAACCCTAAATCACTTAAATACAACTCTCCCAACCAATTACACCTTGTTCGCAGTTTTTTTTTTTTTTTTTTTTTTTTTTTTTTTTTTTGTAAATTCTTTAAAGGAAAGGGAATGAAAATTTTGACTGAAAGAAAGGGAGAGGAAGGAAAATATTTATTATACCGTGTTCCCGAATTCAAAAGAAATGAAAATAAATGAGAGGAAAATTTTAAATTTTTGTGTTCCCAAGTTAGGAGGAAAAAGAAAATAAAACTTAAAATTTTCATTCCCCTCACTTTCTTCCCAAATCCGCCCAATTTGGAAGGAAAATATGACTCCAAAATCCTTCCCATCCCTTCACTTTCCTTCCATTAATCAAACTCGGGAATACGATTTTCCTTCGACACCCCTCACTTTCCCTCCGTATCCTCCCATTTCCCTCCTTAAGTAGAACTCAGGAACAAGGTGTTAGTTCGACTGTTTTTTGTGCACTATAGTCGAACACCTGTCGTCGCCGATCTACACTCTATTACCACCGACCACCGTCATCGATTTGCACACCTCCATTCTACACCTCTGTCATTGATCTGTTCGATTTCATTCTCATCACCATCATCTACTACCATCTCTTGCAGGTTTTAGGCTGCCCCACGACCACCACCTCGTCATGCTTAACACCCGATGACCATCACTCATCCTCTTGACTATATATGTCTCTTATTCTCTCACTTGCCACACTATAGTCATTGATGTGTATATTTTTATACCGTTAGTTTTATATTTATAAAGTCTTATGAATATAACCAGTACATAAACCCAAATAACCAGTGTGCCTAGTCGTGAAGTAATGTAGTCTAAGGTAAGAAATGCTGTCGAACTCTCGGGGAATGAGTATGATTTTGATTCAAATAATTAAGCTAATAGTTAAACTACATACATAAATAGAGGGGGGAGGGTGTGTAAATTATTAAACTTGTTTTAAATACTCAAATTAAGCAAACAAAAGCAAAGAACTAGATTTAAATAAATATATTTTAAGTACTTCCGCTAGAATATGTAACGTCCCAAAAATACGAAGTGTAAATTTTCTTTAAGTCAACCAAAACATGCATTCATCCATTCCAAAACCCAATTAAAGTGTAGGGAAAATGTATCAAAAGTCATCACAGTGCAAAACAAATCATAGAGTGCAAAATATCGGTGGATGCGATACAATCACATCGAGCCCTTCCATTTGGAACCGGAAGTACCTGAAACATAAACATGAAATCGTAATACATCAAACACGACATCCTAACATACATTGCTTCGGTTCCAACCCATATCATACATAATCGGGCCCACCCATATAATCAGGCCTAAACTATAACATACATAATTAGGGCCAACCCATATAATTATACCCAACCCATAACATAGATAATCAGGCCCAACCCATATAAACATACAAACACATGCAAGAGTCACAAAGACTACTAGCATTCTACAAACATAATCAAGTAGGTCGGAATTGGTGCCTTCGACGTACTAGTATTATGAAGAGACTCACCTGAACCACTCGATAGAAGTTCAACAACTACCTTAGTAACGTAACATCCAACCCATGCTTCCTAAAGCCAAACTGAAACCAACCCTTATTCAAATACTCAATTCTACCTAATTTTGACCAAAAGTCAAACTAGTCGAAAAGTCATCGATCAATGGTCAAAAGTCAGTGGTCAACCTCAGTCAACCTATGCCCCGTGTATAAGATGCTCTATGCCTATCATAGAGCATAAGGTGTCCAAATGAGGAAGACAAGGGCTACACGTTGCGTAGCCAAAACTATATTAAGTACTTAATACATAAAGTTAACCATCCAACTCTCAAATGTGGTTCCTAATAGCACCATAATGGATAAAGTTTCCAACTTTATCCATTAGGATGAGCCAAACAACCAAGACCTAGTCTTTAAGTCTCAAAGGGACAAAAATGCATCTTTCTTAACTTAATCCATTAAGTCCAAATCTCCACCCTTCATATCTAAATTAATATGATGTTTAGATGGATAAAGTAGTTAACTTTATCCATAACAAGGTCACAAACTTTCAAGATCTAAACTTTATGCACTAAAATGAACAAAAATACTAACATAGTTTTCATGGCTTAACGAACAAGCACCAAATCACAACTTTCCAAGTCCAATAAGTCCCAAGAGTGTTCTATATAGCTCAAAAGGTACTGGAGTTGCATCAACTCCCAAAACACAAGCTCAAGTGACCAAAAAGTGACAAAATATGACAATTAACAAGATTTATGAAACCAATGACCAAGTTTGAAGCTTTTTACTCAGGAATGAAGTAACCTTGCTGGATATATACTTGAACCCTTCTTTTATACACTTTGCCACCACCTTCTTCTTCTTCAAAATTCCACCTTCCAATGGAAAAGTAAGCTCATAAATGATGCCAAGGCTCACAAAAAGTGAGAGGAGGTTAGGGTCTCTCAAGAAATGATCTTAGGTGATGAAGGATGGTCATGAGAGGGTTTCCCATAAGTTAGAGCCTTTAAATAAGGCTCAAAACTAAAGAATTAGGGGTTTTGATCTGCTTCAGTTACGCCTTGTGTAACATAACCTATGCCCTGCATAGCAGTTACGACCTACTTAACTTTCTTACGCCTTGCATAGAAGCTACACCCTGCATAACATTCCTACGCCCTACACATGACAAAAGCCCCAATTTCGACTTCAACTTCAAACAACCATAACTTCTTCGTTTCAACTATGTTTTCAGTGTTATTTATATGCACGGAAAGGTATTAAAGAGCCCGAAATTCTATATAATTACTTCTAACTTAAAACATTCCAAACTAAAATCCGTAATTCATGAAAGGGGTCTGAAACATCACTTTTCCCATTTTGTCCATTCACTCCAAAACACAAACCAAGGGCTTAGAACACATTGTTGGGTTTTGAGCATTCTAACACTCCTATGGTGTACGTGCAACCCTAAATACCTTGGATCTATGTTTTCTCTATTATACATGTAAATATCAGTTTTCCAATGTATTGTTCTAAAAAGCATAATATAAAATACACATAATATAGATGCTAGTAGAATTACATACCTCTTGTTTGGTGCTTGATTCCATGGAGCTCAAGATCCTAGCGCCCCAAGTGTGACACCTCAAATGGTTCACACAACATCATGAACACTTGTAATAACTTGAGAGAAAGTAGAACACTTCTAAAATTGGTTTGCCCTCACTTGTTTCACTGGTCGCCAATTTCTTCAATAATAAGATCATTATATAGTTAGTCACAATTAGGGTAAACCCTAATTGTCATGGCTTTCCATTTCCTTGGATCCATGGGTTTAAATACAGCATGGAGAATCCATGGATCATCCTATGGGTTTTAGCCCAACTTTATAATCCATGGAGCATTAGCCCATTATATAAGTATGGATGATTTAGACAATCAACCCATATATTTAATTAGTCTTTTTTTTTATCACTTAGTTAATTCTATATTAATTATTGATCAATACTAATTAAATAGTATTATTAATTTATTAGAACTTATAATATATTAATAAACCTTAAGTGTTATTTCTCTCATTTTAGTCTATCTAAATGCATGATGCCATGCAACCCAAATGGACCATGTCGGGTCAGGTCAAGTATATACCAATTATAGTTATGGACTTAGACACTAATCCAACAGTCTCCCACTTGGATAAGTCTAATAACTATTATTGCAAGTATGCCTTCACAACCTGACCAGCAATCGTAGCTCTTAAAAGTTGTTGCCGAACTCTGAACAAATCAATGACGCGTCCATTAGATAAATGATCATATATTCCTCCATTCTAGATATCATATGGATTGAGACATGGATTATAATCATTCTCTCTGTCCATTTTGTTGTTTCTTGCTTTATGATGACTAACTAATTGAACAAATCAAATCAGTCCAGGCCTGGCCGAGCACTTACATTTTGTCATTATCAAATCATCGAGGGGCCTACAGATATCGCTTTTATCCCTTTGAGGGTAAAAGGAATGGATAAACTTCGACTCATATGCTTGTACTAACTACTTGTTGAATTATACACAAAGGCACATTTTTTAACATCGAGTTACCAATGCATTTTCGTGCAATCAATGTATTACTAACTCGTAGTCAACAACTCATATCTCTAGGTTTGAAGAATATAAGATATTATCGTCTCATGATTCAATCGTGATAAAGTCCATGAAGTGATTCAAATGAGCGTGGGTTTAATCCAATACTCAGAACTTATGAACACTCATGAATGTTGTAGCAACCATTGCTATGTATAATGCACATTAGACAAATCTTACAATCCAGATTCATGATAGTCTTGATTCATATCTACTTCCAACATATGACTAACTGCGGATGGTTTGAATAAATTAGTAATACGGGAAGAATGACCTAGTTATTCAAGAAGTCAAAACATGCAAAGTGAAACACAAGAATAATACTAATCCTATATGGTCCCAAACTCTTGAGTGTAAATAAAAAACCCTTTTATCTAAGCACCATATTCATTACTCATTATTCATTGTTTCAATTTATCAACTTAATACTTGAATTAAAACAGTAGTGATGCGAAGCTCCAAGCATGCATACTATGTGTAACACCTGCGTTTCCAGGCTATGCATTTTCGTTAATGTAATAGTCTAGGTTAACCCTTGTAGCTCTTTTTGAAGTATTAATGATGAAATATTTGAGTATTATGTGAATTATGTGTATTTGTTTGCTTATTACTTAATTATAAAGATATAATTAATAAAGGATAAAAATAAGCGTCAAAATTAAAGTGTGAGATAAGCTCGATATCTTTACATAAAATTGTATTGGTCGAAACAAGGATTCCGAAGATATAAAGAATGCCGAAATCCGAGTTAGAACGAAGAAGTTATGACCTATCGAAGTTTCGCGACAGAACCGGCACGAGGCTGAATGATGTAAAACATGAATTTAAGATAGAGCGATATCTAGTCTTGGTGATCTAAACGGAAGTTGTAGAGTTCATTAAACCGAGAGCGTGCATAAAAAGAACGCCCAAATCTGACTTCATATGAGGAAATTATGATTTTCCGAAGTTTCGACTTAACAGTATGCAGATTTTACAGATTTTACAAGTTCGGGACACAAAATCCGAGACTGACTCAACCTCACAACATGAGGGAACCATGCTCACGACGTGAGTCTGTGACTGATGGGTTCCAAAGCCTATCAACGAGTTGTTAAGTCTATGTGAGGAGACCTGGTCGAGCTCACTACGTGAGCCACCCATGCTCACGACCTGAATACATCCTATAAATAGAAGCCGATGGTTTCGGGTTTAGGTACTCATACGCGAATGTTACAGATTTTACAAGTTCGGGACACAAAATCCGAGACTGACTCAACCTCACAACGTGAGGGAACCATGCTCACGACGTGAGTCTGTGACTGATGGGTTCCAGAGCCTATCAACGAGTTGTTAAGTCTATGTGAGGAGACCTGGTCGAGCTCACTACGTGAGCCACCCATGCTCATGACCTGAATACATCCTATAAATAGAAGCCGATGGTTTCGGGTTTAGGTGCTCATTTCTTCTGTTCTAAGTAT